AGAAGAGGCTTCTCGGCCATTGGAAACGCAGGAGCAGGATGAGGAGGAGGCACAGATTTCCCCAAAGGATGTTGCAATAGATAATATTTCTTCTCTAGATGAAGAGGAAGAAGAGCCAGAGATAAGGGGGGGGGAGTAGTTGTGCCTAGGCGCTCCCAGCGTTCAAACAAGGGTGTACCTTCTCAGCATTTGACCCAAGGAGTAGTGAGAGTATGCAATGTGAGTTGTGTGGAACCACAAAGTTATAATGAAGTCTTAGACTTACCCCCTGAAGAACGTGCTTTGTGGGAACAAGCTATGAAAGAAGAAATGGACTCTTTTAAATGTAACAAAGTGTTTGAGGTCATAATGCCGTCTCCAAGTGGCAGAGTGGTGTCATGCAAGTGGGTTTACAAAAGGAAAACCCTTGCATCTGGGGAACCACGTTTTCAAGTCAGATTAGTAGCCAGAGGGTTCACTCAGATAAAAGGGGAGAGTTATGATGAAGTGTTTTCTCCCACTGCAAAGAGTGAAACTTTTCGTTTAATGCTCTCTATTGATGCTGTAAGACAACTAGCAGTGCACCATTTTGATGTTGATGCTGCATATCTGCATGCAAATTTAGACCATGAAGTGTTAATGAGACAACCCCCTGGTTTTGAAGAGGAGAATGGTGCAGTTGAGAAAGGCTGTTTATGGTCTCAAACAAAGTGAAAGGTGTTGGAACCAGTGTTTAAATGAAGCCCTTGTAAAACTTGGTTTTAAAAGGAGTGTGGCTGATCCATGCCTGTACACCAAGGGGACAGGCAACAAATATCTAATGCTCTTAGTCTTTGTTGATGATTTGCTTGTAGCAGGGAGTTCCACATATGAGATCCAGAAGCTCACAAGTCAACTGGAAAAGAGGTTTAAGCTTAAAGCCTTGGGGCCTGTAAGCAATTACTTGGGAGTAGAAGTAAGGCAGGAAGCTGATGGAAGCTTTCTATTAAGCCAGAAAGAGAAAATTCTTCATTTGATAGAGCAGTTTGGCATGGAAAACTGCAGGCCAGTTCAGACTCCCATGACACCAGATTTCCCAAAGACAGTGTGTGATGATGAATTTGATCAGCCTGAGTTGTATCACTCAAAAATAGGATCACTGTTGTATTTAAGCCAGTGGTCAAGGCCAGACATTGCATGTGCTACAAATGTTCTGAGCCAACGTGTATCTAAACCCAGTACTGCCAATTGGTGTGCTTTGAAAAGGCTCATCAGATACCTAAAGGGGACATTAAATGTATGTTTAAAGATATCTAGTACACAAGATGAAAAACTAGAAGCATTTTTGATGTGGACTGGGGAAGCTGTGTAGCTACTAGAAAATCTACAAGTGGAATGGTTATGTTGTTTGCCAATTCCAAGAAACAAGGATTTGTTGCAACCTCATCCTGTGAGGCAGAATATGGGAGCCTGTCGCTAGCATGCAATGAAATCATATGGTTTATACAGATACTAAAAGATCTAGATTGTAAAGTAGATTTGCCTATCCAAGTGTATGAAGATAGGCAATCGTGCATTGCATTAGCGGGCTCGGAAATAATGAAATCCGCATCAAAACATATTGCTATCCGTCATGCGAATGTGAGAGATTGTGTACAGAATGGGGTAATCAAACTGGAGTATTGTCAGTCACAAGATAATATTGCTGATTTCTTTACCAAGCCTTTGCCAGCAACATGTCATAATGAATTGATGACAAAACTGGGTTTATGTATATAGTGTATGTATGTATTGGTTCTGTTGGGGTCTTTCGGATTTAAGAAACAGAAGGGGTGTCACGGCTAAAATGGCCGCTGTTTCTTTAATGCGAATAAAGCTGGGTCAGCATGACTCAGCGACCTGCACCAAGTTGTATATATAGAGTGAGAAATGTTAGTTTGGTTGCTGGTGTTTGGGTTGGTTAGTGCTGGTGTGTATAGTTGTTCAGTTGCTTTTGAACAAAGACTTTTAAGAATAAAACTCTGCAAGGATATTCTCGTGGACTCTTTTGTGCCGACAAGGGTCCGAGGACCAGGCTAAGGAGACAAAGGGAGGTCAAAACCCTTACCTCCTTTTTTGCTTTTTACAAACACTGACAGTTGCTATGCACCTCCTGGGGCCCAAGGGACTGTGTGGGTGATTAATAAATATGCAGAGGTTCAAAGGGCTAAAATGTTCCCCAGAGGTGGAATAATATTACACGGAGAATGAAAAATGTCATTAGCAACTCTCAGGCAGGTCCTTATTTAAAAAGGCAATCCCACAACTGTATTCTTAGATCAAACTACTTTATTAATGATGAGTTAGTATTATGGAAGGTTGATGATGCGTTCCTATTATTTGGCACTGTTTCACCTCATTTGCTTAAAATTTGGGACATAAGGAAGACAGGGAGGAATGTACAATAGGTTGAAATAAGAGAAGGTGCTAATTGCATTTGATGTGTGTTACAGTCTTTGTTCTCTTCCTTGAAATACTAACAGGGGTTTTCCTCCCCTCTCATTTCCAAGCAGGTTATGGAGAAGACAGTGTGTCATCTGTAATTTCATTTGGAAATACGAAGAGACCATTTAAATGTGAATGTGGAATGTGCTTCAGTCCATGTGCACAGTTAATAAACTCACATCAATAAACTCACAGAGTGGGGAAACCGTTTAAAGGTATGGAGTGTGGAAACTTCATCTCTTACTTTACATCATCTAACTCACATGAGTGAGAAACCCTACAAATATATGCAGTGTGGATGGAGATTCAGTATGAGTAGTCAAGTTACTGTACATCAAAGGATTCACGCAACAGAAAAACCATTTAAATGTATAGAGTGTGGAAAGACCTTCTGTCATAGCATAACGCTAAACAACCATCAACGGACTCACACAGGGGAGAAACCATTTAAATGTATAGAGTGTGGGAAGAGTTTCTATCATAGCATAACACTAAGCAAGCATCTACGGACTCACACAGGGGAGAAACCATTTAAATGTATGGACTGCGGAAAGAGCTTCACACATAATAGAAACCTTAGCATACATCTACAGACTCATACAGGGAAGAAACCATTTAAATGTATGGAATGTGGAAAGAGCTTTCGTTCAGGTGGTCATCTGAATTTACATCATAGAACACACACAGGGGAGAAACCATTTAAATGTATGGACTGCGGAAAGAGCTTCACACGTAATGGAGACCTTAGAAGACATCAATGGATTCACACAGGGGAGAAACCATTTAAATGTATGGAATGTGGAAAGAGCTTTCGTTCACGTGGTCATCTGAATTTACATCATAGAACTCACACAGAGGAGAAACCATTTAAATGTATGGAGTGTGGAAAAAGCTTCCATCAGAGTTTATCACTTAATAGACATCATCAAACTCACATGGGTGAAAAACCCTACAAATGTATGCAATGTGGAAAGAGATTCACAAATAATGGAAACCTTAGCAACCATCAACGGATCCACACAGGGGAGAAACCATTTAAATGTATGCAATGTGGAAAGAGATTCACAAATAATGGAAACCTTAGCAACCATCAGCGGACCCACACAGGGGAGAAACCATTTATATGTATGGACTGCGGAAAGAGCTTCACACATAATGTAAGCCTTAGCAACCATCAGCGGACCCACACAGGGGAGAAACCATTTAAATGTATCAAATGTGGAAAGAGCTTCACACATAATGAAAACCTTAGCATGCATCTACAGACTCATACAAGGGAGAAACCATTTAAATGTATTGAATGTGGAAAGAGCTTCACACATAATAGAAACCTTACAAAACATCAATGGGCACACACAGGGGAGAAACTATTTATTTATTTATGTATGGAGTGCGGAAAGATCTTCAACAGTAGTAGAAATCTTAGACATCATCAATGGACTCACACAGGGAAGAAACAATATGAATGTATGGAATGTGGAAAGAGCTTTCGTTCAAGTGATCATCTGACTTTACATCGTAGAACTCACACAGGGGAGAAACCATTTAAATGTATGGACTGCGGAAAGAGCTTCACACGTAATGGAGACCTTAGAAAACATCTACGGATTCACACAGGGGAGAAACCATTTAAATGTATGGAGTGTGGAAAGAGCTTCAGTCAAAAGGGAACTCTAAGAGTACATCAACAGACTTGCACGGGAGAAAAACCATTTAAATGTATGGAGTGTGGAAGGAGCTTCTGTCATAGCGGAATGCTAAGTAATCATCAAAGGACTCACACAGGGGAGAAACCTTATACAGCAAATGTATGAAGTGTGGAAAGAGCTTGAGTCTAAAGGAAACTAAGAGTACATTAACAGACTCACACAGGTGAGAAACCATTTAAATGTATGGAGTGTGGAAAGAACTTCTGTCAGAGTGGACACCTTACAAAACATCAATGGACTCACAAAGGAAGAAACATTTAAATTCCAGGAGTGCAGAAACTGCTTCTGTTTACTGGAGTACTTACAAAATGTTTACGGACTTATATGGAAGGAACCATTTAGATGTATGGAGTGTAGAAAGATTTTTCCTCAACAAGAGGAGGAGGAGGAGGAGGTTTGGATTTGATATTCCGCTTTATCACTACCCGAAGGAGTCTCAAAGCGGCTAACATTCTCCTTTTCCTTCCTCCCCCACAACAAACACAGTGTGGGGTGATTGAGGCTGAGAGACTTCAGAGAAGCGTGACTAGCCCCAGGTCGCCCAGCAGCTGCATGTGGAGGAGCAGGGACGCGGACCTGGTTCAGCAGATTACGAACCACCGCTCTTAACCACTACACCACACTGGCTCTCTCAAGGGTTCATTTCTTCCTTCAAATGAACAGGCTCCTATAGGTGGAAATCAAATTTAAATGCATCCCATGTATGTGATGATCTGGTGTTTCAATGTAAAGTTGTACTTTCATGTAGTAAAGTAATCAAGGTAGCGTATCACAATAGTTAGTAATGTATAAATGGCTTTGTACATTGTACACAATAGTTAGTAATGTATAAATGGCTTTGTACCTCAGGTTACGAACAGCCTGGTTGATGAACATTTTGGATTATGACCATTTCAAACCCGGAAATGAGTTGGTTAAACTAGTATTATAGGAATGGCAGCATGACATGCATTGTTTTAATTGCGGCCCAGGCCCCATGTACCTACGGGACCGCCTCTCCTGGTATGCCCCGTGGAGGACCTTAAGGTCCACAAATGACAACATTTTGAAGGTCCCAAGTCGCAAGGTGGTTAGATTGGTCTCAAGTAGGGCCAGGGCCTTTACAGTACTGGCCCCGACTTGGTGCAACGCTCTGTCACAACAGTCGTGCGCAGCTTCTCCCGGCTGGACAGGTTGCGCGTGGCTAAAGAGGACAGCTTTTTGGGGCTGTCGGGGGGGGAATATTTTTTTCCTTTATCCCCCCCCTAAAAACTAGGCGCGCCGTATGGTCCAGTGCGCTCTATGGGGCGAAAAATATGGTAATAATAATAATAATAATAAAGCAACAAATAGTTTATACATTAATGGTGCTGCAATGACTCCTGATTCTTTGAAGGGCAAATTGTTCAGGTAAAACATACCTGGTGGCAGCAGGAATAAAGGGGATGTTTAGATCAGAAGGTTGGCGGTTCCAGTCCCCCCGATAGGGTGAGTTCCCGTTGCTCGGTTCCAGCTCCAGCCAACCTAGCATTTGGAAAGAACGAATTGCAAGTAGATAAATAGGCACCGTTCCTGCAGGAAGGTAAACAGCGTTTCTGTGTGCTGCTGTGGTTTGCCAGAAGCGGCTTAGTCATGCTGGCCACGACCCGGAAGCTGTACGCCGGCTCCCTCAGCCAATAAAGCGAGATGAACGTCGCAACCCCAGAGTCGTCCGCAACTGGACCTAATGTTCAGGGGTCCCTTTACCTTTACTTTTTAGTGGAATAAGGAAGAAAGTCTCAGCTCTTAGGTGTGCATCTTGCATGAGGTGGGACGGTTGGAACAGGGCAGTGTGGGCAAGTGGCAGGTGACATGAGAGGGTGTAAAATACATCAGTGGAAGCTCATGCCTAATTGTCCCCAACTTAGCACCCAGAGGGGGGAAAGCATAGGAGAACTTCCTACAAATCCATGAACTAAGACATACCTACTATTACAGGAAACAAGAAACTTCCTTCCAACCAATAGGGCACAGAGAGGGGTCGAAGTGTGAAGGGAAAGTTAACCCTTACCTCTCCATCTGTGGCCCAATTAAAACTCCACTGGAAGAATCGGTCCTGGAGGTCCTGCTGAACATGATTAGAAGGGACCGGTTGGTTAAAGGTATACAGGTCGGAGCTAAACAGTATAAACTGAGAGCATTTGCAGATGATCTAGTTTTGACGTTACAGGAGCTCTAATCTAGTACTAAAAGAGTTTTAGAACTAATTCAAGAATTCTGTCAGGTGGCAGGATTCAAATTGAACAAGTCAAAAACTAAGGTTTTAGAGAAAAACTTAACATTGACTGAAAGAGAGAAGTTCCAGAATGAAACAGGTTTAACTGTGGTTAAGAAAGTGAAATACCTGGGGATTAACATGATAGCTAAAAATGGGAATTTGTTTAAAGATAACTATGAAAAATGTTGGATGGAAGTGAAAAAAGATTTAGAAATTTGGTCAAATTTGAAGCTTTCCTTCTTGGGTCGAATTGCAGTCATAAAGATGAATGTATTGCCTAGAATGTTGTTTTTGTTTCAAACATAGCAAATTGTGGACAAGATGGACTGTTTCAAGAAGTGGCAGAAAGATATTTCTAAATTTGTCTGGCAGGGCAAGAAGCCCAGAATAAAATTTAAGATATTAACTGATGCAAAGGAAAGGGGTGGATTTGCCCTGCCAGACTTTAAACTTTATTATGAATCAGCAGCGTTCTGCTGGCTGAAAGACTGGCTGCTTCTTGAGAACACAGACATTTTGGATTTAGAAGGTTTTAACAACGTTTTTGGGTGGCATGCATATTTGTGGTATGACAAGGTTAAAGCACATAAAGCATTTAAAAACCATATTGTCAGGAAAGCATTGTTTAATGTTTGGATTAGATATAAGGATTTATTGGAAAACAAAACCCCAAGGTGGCTGTCGCCAATGGAAGCGAAAGCTCAGAAAAAGCTCAATATGGAGGCCAAATGGCCGAAATATTGGGAAATTTTGGAACAAGAAGGAGATAGTCTGAAACTGCAGAGTTTTGAGAAACCAAAAAACAAAGTGTGAGACTGGCTTCATTATTATCAGATAATGGAGGCTTATAATTTGGATAAGAAAGTTGGCTTCCAGGTGGAAAAATCCAAATTGGAAACAGAACTGTTAGAATCCAAAACTAAGATTTTGTCAAAAATGTATAACTTGCTGCTGAAATGGAACACTCAGGATGAGACGGTCAAATCTGCTATGATTAAATGGGCACAAGATGTTGGACATAACATTATGTTTGCTGACTGGGAACAGTTGTGGACCACTGGGATGAAATTTACGGCATGTAATGCCTTAAGAGAAAATATTATGAAAATGATATACAGGTGGTACACGACCCCAGTCAAGCTTGCAAAAATTTACCATGTGCCCGATAATAAATGTTAGAAATGCAAAGAAAATGAAGTGAACATTCTTTCACCTTTGGTGGACGTGTCCCAGGATTAAGGCTTTCTGGGAAATGATCTATAACGAATTGAAAAAGGTATTTAAATATACCTTCTTGAAGAAACCAGAGGCCTTTCTCCTGGGCATGGTCAGCCAGTTGGTGTCAAAAAAGGATAGAACTTTCTTTATGTATGCTACAACAGCAGCAAGAATACTTATTGCAAAGTATTGGAAGACGCAAGACTTACCCACTCTGGAAGAATGGCAGATGAAGATGATTGACTGCATGGGATTGGCAGAAATGACTGGCAGAATCCGTGACCCAGGGAGAAGAGTCGGCGGAAGAAGATTGGAAGAAATTCAAGGACTATTTACAGAAATATTGTAAAATTAATGAATGTCGGATAGAAATTAAGGGTTTTTTAGCTGTAATGCTTTAAGTGACATGGGGGAGAAAAAAAGGGGTATAGAAATAGGTCAAAAATATGGATAAGGATTTGCTGAACAAACAATTTGAATTGAAATACAAGAAGGGGAGGTATGAGGAGGTCAGGGAAATATGTTATTGGAAAATAAGTATTGTGAACTTTATGTGTTCTTAAACTTTTTTGCTTTTTTCTTTTTGATTGTATTAAAATTGAAAACTTTAATAAATATCTTTTTAAAAAACTCCACTGGAAGAATGGTACACATTTGGAAAGAAAAGATGCTGCAGGTACCAGTGAATCCCCTGGTCGGTCCATTTTCACTTATAAGCATCATGTGGCTACCCCAGGGCTACTGCTTTTATGACAAGCAATCATCATCATCATCGTTGATTGGGTTGCCCCAGACACTCTGGAGTCTTCTAAAAGTTATGTACTGTGGTTCTTTATCTGCATGGCATCTCAATACATCTTATGGGAGAGCGTTTCACAGGGCGGGCGCCACCACCAAGAAGGCCCTCTACCTGCTTCCCTGTAACTTTCTTCTTGGCGTGAGGGAACCAGCAGAAGACCCTCGGAGCTGGATCTCAGTGTCTGGGCTGAACAATGGGGTGGATTTGCTCCATCCGGTATACAGGGCCAAGGCCAATTAGGGTACGCACCAACACTGAATTGCGCTCAGAAACGTACCAGGAGCCAATGCAAGTCTTTCAGGACCAGTGTTATATGGTCCTGGCGGCCACTCCCAGTCACCAGCCCAGCTGCCACATTGTGAATTAGTTGTAGTTTCCAAGCCACCTTCTAAGGCCGCCCCACATAGAGCGCATTGCAATCATCCAAGCGGGAGATAAACAGAGTATGCACCACTCTGGCAAGACACTCTGTGGGCAGGCAGGGTCTCAGCCTGCGTACCAAATTGAGCTGGTAAACAGCTGCCCTGGACGCAGAATTGACCTGCACCTCCATGGACACCTGCGAGTCCAAAATGACTCCCTGGCTGTGCACCTGGTCCTTCAGGGGTACAATTACCCCATTCAGGACCAGTGAGCCCTCCACACCTGCCTGCCCCCCTGTCCCTCAAAAACAGTACTTCCTTCTTGTCAGGATTCAACCTCCATCCATTAGCTGCCATCCATCCTCCAACCTCCTCCAGACACTCACGCAGGACCTTCACTGCTTCTGATTTGAAAGAGAGGTAGAGCTGGGTATCATCCGCATACTGATGAACACCCAGCCCAAACCCCCTGATGGTCTCTCTCAGCAGTTTTATATGCATGTTAAAAAGCATGGGGGAGAGGACAGAGCCCTGAGGCACCCCACAAGTGAGGGCCTGAAACCCGACTGGAAGGGGTCCAAGTGATGTGCTTCCTCCTATCCAACTTGGTTGCTTTTGCATGGACGGTGCATCCGTAGGCATTTTTTTAACAAAAGTAGCAAAGGCTAGAGTTTCATTTTCCTTTATTTTTTTAGAGGTAGAAGCACTGCCAACATGCAACCCTTGCAAAAAGAGAGGTCTGTTTCCTTCTGGCTGGGTGGAGGGCGCTATCTTGTTACACGTCTTGTTCCCTTCAGGATTAAAGCCAGTTAATGCAATTTCCCAGAGGGAAAGAGAGAAAGGGAGGCTGGGTGCTCGCCCTCCCCATCGCCCAGCACCTTCCCCTAGAAAGGGGGTGTGGCTTATCAAGAAAGACTGCCCCTCCCCCTCACACCTCCTGCCACCCTTGACCTTCCAGGAATCGGGCTGAGTGCAAAGCGCCTTGAGGCGCAGCAAACTTTTGTTTTTGGTGGGGGGTACAATGTCAGTGGCGAAGAGACGCGGGTGGCGCTGTGGGTTAAACCACAGAGCCTAGGACTTGTCAATCGGAAGGTCGGCGGTTCAAATCCCCTTGACGGGGGGGGGGGTGAGCTCCAATTGCTAGGTCCCAGCTCCTGCCAACCTAGCAGTTCGAAAGCACGTCAAAGTGCAAGTAGATAAATAGGTACCGCTCCAGCGGGAAGGTAAGCGGCGTTTTCATGCGCTGCTCTGGTTCACCTGAAGCGGCTTAGTCATGCTGGCCACATGACCCAGAAGCTGTAAGCCGGCTCCCTCGGCCAGTAAAGCGAGATGAGCGCCGCAACCCCAGAGTCGGCCACGACTGGACCTAATGGTCAGGGGTCCCTTTACCTTTACAATGTCGGTGGGATGTGGGGGCGGAGGGAGAGAGAGCAGACCGGGAAACTGCTGGATAGGTGAGGAAAGAGAGATTCTCCCCCCCCCCAAATGAAGGTAGGTGGGTGCACACCTGGTTCATCCTCGTTGCAGAGAAGAGCCAGGGAATGTCTCTGAAGGTGCATACACACAAACACACACACGTGTGAATGCGCACACACAAAACATAAGAAGGCCCTATAGTTGGAGCAGACCAAGGGTCCCATCTCGCCCCGAATCCTGCTCTCCCGGAGTCCCAGTGGGAAACCAGATGCCCGTTTTGGGAATCCTGCAAGGAGAATTTCAGCCCAAGACCATCTCTCCCCTCCCTGCTCGGTGGTCCAGGCAGCAGCTGGAAAATGCTGTCTGCAGAGTTTGGAGTCTGTTTGGGTTCTCTTTCAGGGACCAAAGGGTCTTGATCCGGCCGTGCTCCTCCTCCTCCAGAAACCCCCTCCCCCGTCAATGGGGTGGGCGTGGAGTTGGGCAACTTCGCAAGGGAGCCCAAAGGGGAGGAAGCCGAAGGCAGCGCCGTCACGTCCGGCTCCCATGCGAAAAGAGGGACTTCTCCCAGGAAGGGGTCTCTCTGTGGGTCGGAAGTTAGCAGGAAGTGGGGGCAGAAGGAGCCCCTGGAGAAGCGAGAGGTCTGAGAAAGGTAAAGAGGGGCGCCAGTCGACCACGGACCCCCCTTCTCCGCTTTATATTGCAAGAAAGGAAATCGGAATAGCTACGAAGGGAGGCGGATGGTCAGAGGAGAAAGAGGTAAAGATGCCGGTGGGGGGGAGGGAAGGGGGGGAGGGAAAGGATAGAGAGACCCCTTCTTGCTCCCCCAAAAGCTCCTGCCTTGGGACGAGGGCGGGGAGGGGCGATGGGGTCGGAGAGAAAGGGGCACAGAGCCCCCCCATTAATCTCTTGTCCTGGGACCCATATGGAGAGGCTCGCATCCATGCAAGGCAGCTGCAAAGCGTGGACCCCCCCACCTGCAGTGTTTCCCTTGCGCCGTCTCCTTTGAAGCCCCCCCCCCACCAGACACGTTTTCCCACCAAGGGGGTGCCCCCAAAAGCCCCCACCCCCAAGCAGGGCGAGCCGTGCCAAGGAAGGCCAGAGGGTGTAGGGGAGACTTTGGGGAAGAGGGGGGGAGCAGAGGATGTTGGGGGGCTGAGGGTTGAATGGAAGCCTCCCTGGGGGTGAGACGCCATGTTGATAATTGGTGGAGGGGGTGGAGAAAGAAAGAGGCACGGGGCCTTTTTCTGGGATGCCTCCACCTGGGGTGCTGGCAGGGGGGTTTCTGCAGGGGCTGCCTTGGCTTCTCCATTGACCTAGAGAAGGATTCCTGCAAGCTGAATCCCCCCCCCCCCCATTTTGTCCCAGGGAAGCTGCTGCATCGGATGCTGGGAGCTCCAGAGCTCCAGACCCCTTGATCTGCATTCTTCCAATCCAGACCATTGGTCCACTGGGAGAGGAGAGCAGAGGGGCACTTGAAGGAGTCCGTGTCAGGATAAAAAGGTGGGGTATAGATAAACAGAAGAAGAATAGCAATCATTCTAAGATTGCTTGAGGAGGCTTCTAGTCAAAGCAATTGGAGCCTCTTGTGAAGCCCCTGAATGAGACCAGCCTGAGAAGAAAGAGTGTCCGACAAGGACCTGGGAGGCAGGGGGTTAAATTCCCCTGGGGGATCTTGCCTCTTGGCCTCACCTGCCTCCTTGGAGGAAAAGGGGTGGGGGATTGATAAATGACAGAGCAGAGACAGACAAATGCATCAGGAAGATGTTCCAGATCATACAGGAAGGAGAAAACAAAATGCAGATAATTAGTATTTTCAGAGAAACCTCAGCAGAGAAGGTTTTTTGGGGCTCAGTGTCACTTGGGAGTTCAAGGTGGGCGTGGATACCAAGGGGTCTTTAGACGATTTTTCAGGGATTATGATTGACATCTGTATTCCAACAACCATATGGATCCAAGGTTCCCACACTAAATCAAGGTCTAGATGATGTCCCCAAAGTTGCCTGGCTTATATTCCAGAAAATGGCCTGGATATGTTCCAGAAGGGAGTGTCTCTCAAGTTCTGAGTCGGAAAGGGAGCCAGGTACAATGACCCCGATTTGAAGGCTGACTTCTTCTTTATACTCACCTTTTTAATCTCTTCCCGTGGAAACATCCCTGCTTCCACCTCCTCTCTCTTTCCCTCCTTCCCCACAATCAGGCCTCTGGACCTTTAATATCCACCTTTTCCCGTGTTGCAGATCTTCCCTGTTGGAGCACAGGTGGGGCTCTCCCTTGGGGTGGGGGGCGAGGAGTCCATGGCCCCCCACCCCAAAGGAGGACAGTGAGAGAGGCTTGGGCAGAGAATTCCTACAAGGATAGTGCTGTGTCCTGACTATGGGATGAGGAGGCACATTCCCTATCCATTATGGCCTAGGAGACTGATGGGGAATTATACGCCATTATAATTGCTCCGTGGTCTTTAGATGAAGTGTGATTAATAAATTTAATAAGTAATAATTGAGAAGTCATTAAGAAAAAGAAGTCAGAATAGGCCAATATCTATGTGTACTGTCCCTGGATCAAAGGACATTTCTTCTTTAAGTTCTCAGAAGTTCTTAAACCTAGCCCAAGGTTGTCCTTTGAACTAGCCAGGTGTTTAACTGAGAATCAATCACAATCTGTCCATCATTTGAAAAATAAGACTTTAGCGCCATCCTACCCCAAAATGGCAACTCTTGTTGTTGTTTAGTCGTTTAGTTGTGTCCGACTCTTCGTGACCCCCTGGACCAGAGCACGCCAGGCACTCCTGTCTTCCATCAGGGTCTTTTCCAGGGAGTCTTCTCTTCTCATGACTCCTAGGCATTCAATTTTGGGTGGCTGTAACCTTGATTTAACAAGACATTTGGCACCTAGCTTCTATATATGAGTTTCTAACACTGATCCTGTTACCTCCACACACTGCTGCCTCTGACCACCTTAGTAGGAAGTCACGTACCACCATCACATCCCTCTTCCTCCTCTGGGGAGTGCTAGGAATTGCTCCATACCCTGCCCCTTCCACAGCCACCTTGATGCGTTCTGAGGTCTGCATCTTCCTCCTCTGACCCAGAATTGATTTTGCAGCTCAAGTGACACATCAGGGTTCCTAACAGCCCCGTTTCTCTGTACCACATTCCTCCAGGTTTTCGTTTCCTGCAACCAGCAATCTTCCTCCTAGCTGGGGCCAACCTCACCTGTGTTGCTGTCCCAGGACCATCCACTCTGCTCTCTTTCGAGAAATCCCTCATCTTGCTCAGGAGCTCGTAGGGCAGATAGGCGGACCTCAGCTTGATGTTCCTTCTCTTCCTGCATCTGCTGCAGGTGTAATTCTGCACATTCTCAGGCAGGAGGACAAACATGGCACAGGTGTGGCAGGTCACTGCAGCAGCTCCCTCGCCATCCATGTCTCTTGCTCCTACACACAGCATGAGACAGGACTCCTGGCCTCCCCCTCACACTCAGACTTAGAAGGGTGGTTTCTAAATCTAATAAATAAAAATTGGGGTGAGTGTTTCAATCTGGGATTCCAGCAGCCAGGCTCCAACAGCCTTTTCCTGCATCTCCAGCTCTCCCTCTGCACTGCAAGGCTGACAGATGGAGGTCCAGCTCCAAGGACATTAGCCTACCTGAGCACACCTTCAGTTTATTCCAAGCGCCAAGCCTTCTCACTAGTTCCATGCTACAGTCCCTAGAAATACCTGAACCCTGGGTCTCCCAATATGGCTGCTATGCACCTCCTGGGGCCCAAGGGACTGTGTGGGTGATTAATAAATATCCAGAGGTCCAAAGGGCTAAGATGTGCCCCAGGGGTGGAATAATATTAGGCAGAGAATGAAAAATGTCATTAGCAACTCTGATTCTGAGAAATGGAGCGCACGTTTGTGTTGGCTATTTGCAGTATGGTAGCGCTGCAGAGAGCTTGCTGGGGAGACCATGCATTAAAAAGGACTCAAAAATAACTTAAACAAGGTTTTAATAAGAAAAACAAAAACTCCATTTACACTAAATACATCAACAAACCAGACCCAACCACCAACCCATCTCCCAGGGTCATGGGAGAGCTAGGTGCTGCTCCTTATATACTACACCCAAATGCTGACACACCTTAATCAAATACAACTCAGCAGCCCCTGCCATGTTTCACAGCTGTAAACCTGGGTCTCGTTATTTTGCTCTGGCCCTTGCTCTGGCCCCTTAAAGACATACACAACTGGTGGAACAATGATGAACCTTTACATTTAAAGAAACCATTCAACACCTTGAAATACTAACAGGGGTTTTCCTCTCCTCTCATTTCCAAGCAGGTTATGGAGAAGACAGTGTGTCATCTGTAATTTCATTTGGAAATATGAAGAGACTATTTAAATGTGGTGAATGTGGAATGTGCTTCAGTCCATGTGCACAGTTAATAAACTCACATCAATAAACTCACAGAGTGGGGAAACCGTTTAAAGGTATGGAGTGTGGAAAGAGCGTCAGACACACTTCATCTCTTACTTTACATCATCTAACTCACATGAGTGAGAAACCCTACAAATGTATGCAGTGTGGATGGAGATTCAGTATGAGTAGACAACTTATTGTACACCAAAGGATTCACGAAACAGAAAAACCATTTAAATGTATAGAGTGTGGGAAAAGCTTCTATCATAGCATAATGCTAAGCAAGCATTTACGGACTCACACAGAGAAGAGACCATTTAAATGTATGGACTGTGGAAAGAGCTTCACACATAATAGAAACCTAAGCAACCATCAACGGACTCACACAGGGGAGAAACCATTTAAATGTATGGACTGTGAAAAGAGCTTCACACATAATAGAAACCTAAGCAACCATCAACGGACTCACACAGGGGAGAAACCATTTAAATGTATGGAATGTGGAAAAAGCTTTCGTTCAAGTGATAATCTGACTTTACATCATCGAACTCACACAGGGGAGAAACCATTTAAATGTATGGACTGTGGAAAGAGCTTCACACATAATGGAAACTTAAGAAAACATCTACGTACTCACACAGGGGAGAAACCATTTCAATGTATGGAGTGTGGAAAAAGCTTCAGTCAGAGTTCATCACTTAATAGACATCATCAAACTCACATGGGTGAGAGACCTTGTAAATGTTTGGAATGTGGAAAAAGCTTTCGTTCAGGTGAACATCTGACTTTACATCATCGAACGCACACAGGGGAGAAACCATTTAAATGTATGGAGTGTGGAAAGAGCTTTAGTCAAAAGGGAACTCTAAGACTACATCAACAGACTCACACAGGAGAAAAATGATCTAAATGTATTGAGTGTGGAAATAGCTTCAGTCAGAGTCAAACTCTAAGAGTACATCAATAGACTTGCACGGGAGAAAAACCATTTAAATGTATGGAGTGTGGAAGGAGCTTCTGTCACAGCGGAATGCTAAGAAACCGTCAAAGGACTCACACAGGGGAGAAACCTTATACAGCAAATGTATGAAGTGTGGAAAGAGCTTGAGTCTAAAGGAAACTTAGAGTACATTAACAGACTCACACAGGCGAGAAACCATTTAAATGTATGGAGTGTGGAAAGAACTTCTGTCAGAGTGGACACCTTACAAAACATCAATGGACTCACAAAGGAAGAAACATTCAAATTCCAGGAGTGCAGAAACTGCTTCTGTTTACTGGAGTACTTACAAAATGTTTACGGACTTATATGGAAGGAACCATTTAGATGTATGGAGTGTAGAAAGATTTTTCCTCAACAAGAGGAGGAGGAGGAGGAGGTTTGGATTTGATATCCCGCTTTATCACTACCCTAAGGAGTCTCAAAGCAGCTAACATTCTCCTTTCCCTTCCTCCCCCACAACAACACTGTGTGAGGTGAGTGAGGCTAAGAGACTTCAGAGAAGCGTGACTAGCCCATAGTCACCCAGCAGCTGCATGTGGAGGAGCGGAGACGCGAACCCGGTTCACCAGATTACGAACCACCGCTCTTAACCACTACACCACACTGGCTCTCTCAAGGGTTCATTTCTTCCTTCTAATGAACAGGCTCCTATAGGTGGGAATCAAATTTAAAGGCATCCCATGTATGTGATGATCTGGTGTTTTAATGTAAAGTTGTGCTTTCATGTAGTAAAGTAATCAAGGTAGCGTATCACAATAGTTAGTAATGTATAAATGGCTTTGTACATCGTACCTCAGGTTGCGAACAGCCTCGTTGATGAACATTTTGGATTATGACCATTTCAAACCCAGAAATGAGTTGGTTAAACTAGTATTATAGGAATGGCAGCATGACATGCATTGTTTTAATTGCGGCCCAGGACCCACGTACCTACGGGACCGCCTCTCCTGGTATGCCCCGTGGAGGACCTTAAGGTCCACAAATGACAACATTTTGGAGTTTCCAAGTCACAAGGTGGTTAGATTGGTCTCAAGTAGGGCCAAGGCCTTTTCAGTACTGGCCCCAACTTGGTGGAATGCTTTCTCACAAGAGACTAGGGCCCTGCGGGACTTGACATCTTTCCGCAGGGCCTGCAAGACAGAGCTGTTCCACCTGGCCTTTGGTTTGGACTCAGTCTGACCGTTGTGTTTGCCTCCTCTTATGGTTTTGATCTGTGGACTACTTTTAAAAATGAGGCTCCATTTTAAATTGCATTTTAACCTGTATTTTAAATTGGTAAGGTTTTTTTTCCTATTCTGTTTTTACTGTAATTTTACTGGTGTTAGCCACTCTGAACTCGGCTCTGCCCGGGGAGGGCGGGGTATAAATAAAACTTATTATTACCGTATTTTTCGCTCGATAGGACGCACTTTTCCCCCTCCAAAAATGAAGGGGAAATGTGTGTGCGTCCTATGGAGCAAATGCAGGCTTCAGGCAGCTATCCACAAGCCTTCTGAGCCCGGCGGGAGTTCCCGCCGGGCTCCGAAGGCTTGCGGATAGCTGCCTGTTCTGGGGGCTGGGGTCAGGGGAAGCTCGGGCTTTCCCTGTCCCAGCCCCGCAGCTAAAAACAAAGCCGTACGCAGCTTCTCCCGGCTGGACAGGTTGCGCGTAGCTAAAGAGGAAGCCAAGACAGCTGTCTTGGCTTCTTTGCTTTTTGGGGCTGTCGGGGGAAAATAAATTTTGTTTGACACTTATGTTTCCCCTCCCTTATGGTCTTGATTTATCAGCTATTTTAAAATAAGGCTGCATTTTAAATTGTATTTTAACCCGTATTTTAAATTGTTGTTTTTTCCCCTATTATGTTTTTACTGTAATTTTACTGGTGTTAATCACCCTGAGCCCAGGGAGGGTGGGGTATAAATAATAATTGGTGGGGGGGGTGGAGGAAGAAATAACCAGTCCATAATTTTAATGGTAGGTTTATTGTAGCTGTGAGAGAAACAGAATAACAACAGGAAAACCCCCAGAAACCTAGAAGACAAATCAGAGATTGATGTGCATTACAATGAGTGAAATAAGTATTTGATCCCTTATCCACCAGCCAGATGTCAGGCTACCTGGTATCTTCACTGTTACGTAACGAGCTGAGATTAGAAGCACCTGCTGTAAGGGAGAGGTCTTACCTGTTATCCCAGCTCATTACAGTACCTGTACAAAACACACCTGTCGACAGAAGCAATCAATCCAAAGGTGTTTTTATTATGCATTGGCTTGTGACATATATGGAAGGTGACCAATGAAGGTGGTTTTCCACGTCTCTTAGGTCATAGAAATGTTCTAAAGGACTGTGTGGAAAACTTAGGGCTGAGGGACAATTGTGGAAGGGGTTGAGGGGTGTGAAGGGGAGACAGAGACGGAGAGAAGTCTCTGAGTCATTTGCTGAGGGATGTGGCTGAAGGCCTTGGTTTCTCTCACACCAAATGAGAAAAGACTGTAGAAAAGACTCTACAACCTGAAAATGGAGACGGTGCACATACTTTTGTAACCCAAGAAAATCTTTAATAATTTTTTTTCATTGAAATAAAGGCCTTGGTCTCCTTCCATCGGACTTTCCTTTAAGCGAAGCAGCCCCTGTATCTCAGGTCTCTGAGCAGTTTAGGATGCCTACTTGAGAAACGTGCTTTAAATGGCTGTGTCTCTCAATGTCCAGGAGGAGACACAGGCTGCTTCCACAAAAGTGTGTGTGGAACGCACAGCAGCTTTGTCCCCACTGACCCTCGCCACGGGGTCCATAACTGCACCTTCCATACCACTGGGAAACTGACCGTTCCCTGTGCTGCTCATTAATGTGCATGAAATACTATATTGTTAGTGGCTAGGCTATGATTAGTCCATCTTAAGACCTACAGTGTTTTGCTTTTGAAATCCCTTTTCTTCCTCCCTTCCCCACCTTTTATTTTATCCACCATTCCAGGAGCTCGTGGGGATGCTATGTTTGATTTCAGGCAAGAAATGAGGGTTTTCATCTCGTTACAGGAGACTGGTTGCCATTCAGGCTTCCTCTGATGACCTGTCTTCAATTAAACCCTGGGCCACCAGCTCCCAGCATTTGTCTTCCTTCTGTTCCATTAGCTAGTCCCAAGGGCTTTCATATTTTCAGCTTTCTTGTTGTGGAGCAGACTCTTGTATTCCAACCTACGTTTGATCAAATTTTCCATGGATTCCTCTGATGGATTCTGATGTCTTAACTGTCTTAGCTGGAGCTTTCTTAGCTGCTTTGAATCAACTGCCAAACCAGCCAAGGTGTGTTGATTGTGTGTAATTAGTAATTGTAGGAAGTTATCTGTGATGGGCAGCTGAGCTAGGGCAGAATCAGGGGGTGCAGGGCCTCAGAATTCCATGAGAGAGCTGGAGCCTCTCTCTGATTGGTTACCAAGACGGGGGTGGAGCCAGCACTTTTGGAGGGAAAATAAAATGAGCCGTTTCTGAGAAAGTGGAGGGATAGTTTCGAGGGAGAGGAGGGAGGAGGGTTGTTTCTGGTCTGCGTATGAAGTGCACTCTGAGGAAATTATCCCAAGCTAGAGAAAGGGGTCTCTGAGCTTAGAAAGACTAGTTTTGAGAGAGTATTCAGACAGGAGTTAACTGGAAGGCTGGAAGCAAGGAGAAGTAGAAGCTGTGAGGATACTGTCTACTTGGGTCTCATTTCAGTCAGGAAGGGAAAGATCTTCTAGAAAGAGAAGAATCCCAAGCCAGTTATGAAGGGTGTGGTGACCCCCTGGGTCTGCTATACTGTCAGAAGTACCTCAGGAGCGTGGAAACTGACAGAAAGCACCACCTTGTTTAAGAATCAAAATCTTAAGCTGCAACAACTAAGTTAAGGAGCTGTAGTGAAATAACTGGAAATAAGCTCAGCATTGGCCACCCTCTCTAGACACCTGTAACATCGAAGAGGAAAAACTTAAAAGAAGCAACAGAAGTTTAAAAGAAGCTGTGCATTTACTACTTTGTTTAGAAGCCTGTAACACACACTAAATTTAGTACAATTTATTATTGAGTTCACTGTTTCCTGAAAGAACATTATCTATCTCCTGACACATCCTTTGCTTTTTTCAACTTTGTTCTGTAAAATAAATATTTCTTGTTTGTTCAACTTCTGC